AGTTTGGCTGGTGTGCAGGACAGAGCGAGGCCAGAGTGGCAGCAGCTAGCGGGTGGAGGGGTGGTGTGCGGTGAGGTCAGAGTCCCGGCAGGGGCGGTCAGCTGCGTGCTGCAGAGCCAGGCAAAGCAATGAGGAGCCCGGTGACGGAGGTGGCATGATCAGCCAAGCATTCATTCAAGACCACATGGGCCTCGAGAGGAGCCCCCAGCAGATGGGGGAAGGAGGTGAGCTGGGGCAGAAAGCCTGTATGACTGCGGCTGCCAGAGGGGAGCTGCCAGCCCAGACCAGGGCGGTGGGGTAGAAGCCGGCTGAAGCTCTATTTGAGAAGGAAAGCCACAGGTCTTGTTCATGGATCTGTGGAGAAAAGAGAAAGAGGAATCTGAAGTGATTCTGTGGGTTGGGGCCTGAGCAGAGGGTAGATGGCGGTAGCATTACCCAAATCAGGGATCCTCGAGGCAGAGAAGGATGAGATGTGGGGAAGGCAGAGGAGGTTGCTGTCCCAGTAACTAGTTACTAGGAACCAGCTGCTAGAGAGCGGTGCCCAGAGAGTCCCTAAGGCCAGCTCTGTGACCCATGGGGAAAAGTCCAAAGCCTCCTGCTTGGGGCCCTTCTGAGCAAGGACAGAGTCCACTGTCCTGCCATGTCACTCACTGCCCTGTGATCAGTCCCTGCCCCCTCCCACGCCATCTGCTGTCAGCCTCCCCAGGTACTCAGAGTCACCAGACCTAGGAGCCCTTTCCAAGCTCTGTGCTGCATGTGGCATGCTGTGAGCCTCCACTATGTACCAGACGCTGCGAGACACAGAGAAAAGTGAGATGGTCCTCGACCCACGGAGCTCCTCACCTTGGGTAGACAGGTAGTGGCAAAGCAACGTGGTGCCAGGTAGAGACACACTCAGGAGGTGGATGGGGAAAGAGGAGAGGAATGGCCCAGGCTGGCCACACACTTCCCTCCTCTTGGCATCCTTCAGGAGTCACCCTCTGGGGGGTCGCTCCTCACCCCTGCAGGTGACTAAGCACTCCCTCCCTCCAGCCTGCCTCCTCTGGGCGTTCCTGCCAATGGCCCTCCGGGAACTGTATCTGTGTGACCACAGGCCCCTCCCGCTGGTCTCTGGCTCCTCCAGGGCAGGACCCTTGTCTGCTTCATCTCAACATCTCTGGCGTCCAGGCCACAGCTGCCTGAAGACTCGGGAATTCAAGGTCTGGCTTGTGCCCTCCCCTCTACTCATTGCCCTGCAGTGGGAGGAGGGCCCTGTCTGGCTACTGAAGAGACCACTTCTCAGCTGCTCACCGGCCTGAGCCCCCTGTCTGCAAGAGGTCTCTGCCTGCAAGAGGTCTCTGCCTCTTCTGCACAACAGCTGCTCCTCTTGCCTCGGGCTGCCGGAAATGCTCAGTCTGCTTTAAAAGGGGGCCAGTGCCCCACTGAGGCCCAATATATAGGAAATTAGATAAAGATGTCTGTATACACAGAAAACACTCAAAGGCGAACTACCCAGAGAGCATGACGGCTTTGACTCGTCTTTATTTTTTGGTACCAGAAGGAAGTTGAAGGAAGTCTGTGTGTACTGGGGTGGGGGAGGGGGCTGCTGCAAACTGCTCTAAGCTCATCCGATCCTCCTAACTTGTCACCCTTCCCATCCACCTGCCCGGGGCCGTCTGAGCTGCGAAGGACTGATTCTGGAGGAGAGTGGTGCTCGGTGTGGATGGGTGCAGGGGGATATGGGAGGCAGCACCCCGAGAATTTCTGGCATCATCTTCCCACATTTACAATTCGAGTTTATGGGCTCTGTCTCTTTAGCCCGCGGTTCTCTCGTTGTGGAGCTTACATTTTTATCTGCAGGAATAAAAGTCAGTGGCAGCTGATGTGGCCCTCTGGAGTTAGAGGCAATAACCATTGTGGGCAATGCAGCCTGGAAAATAATAATAATAATAAGCAGCAAAAGGGGAGACAGCTTTTTGAGGGTGGTTGATAAATGGCTACAGACTCTGTAATACCTCCCCCACCACCGCCACCACCTCCGCCAAGCACGTACACTCAGATGGCTCACAACCCCTGCATGAATCCCACTGAAAAATGCAGCACAGAGAGACTGATGCAAAGGAAGGATGTGGAGAAGGCTCGTTTAGAGAGTCCTGCAGCTGCAGGGCTAAAGCAGCCACTTGGATAAGCGGCGACATTACACCTGGAACGGAGAGGGAGACACCACCGCCACCACCTCCGCCAAGCACGTACACTCAGATGGCTCACAACCCCTGCATGAATCCCACTGAAAAATGCAGCACAGAGAGACTGATGCAAAGGAAGGATGTGGAGAAGGCTCGTTTAGAGAGTCCTGCAGCTGCAGGGCTAAAGCAGCCACTTGGATAAGCGGCGACATTACACCTGGAACGGAGAGGGAGAAAAGGTGAGGCTCTCTAGGTTATCGGCTGGCTTACATGAGATAGCATGTCAAGCCTCTAGCAGAGCCGGCACATAGTGGCCCCTTGATAAATAGGAGCTCCACTCCTCCCATTCCAAGGTTGAAGATGGAACCAGTAATGCTTTTGCAAGAGAGCGGGGAGAAGAAACCCAAAGAAACAGCATTTGGATTTGACCTGGCCCCTGAAACATGCCCATGGGCAGGACTTTGAAGGTGCCTCCAGAGGCTGGGGGGCTCCCTGCCATCCAAATTCCTTCTTCTCCACCCCCGCCTTCCCAGCCTGGCGCGCTCTGTCGCCGTCGGTGTATCTCAGGTCTCACCACACTCCATCTTGCTCCTGTCTGGGTTCAGTGCCCCTGCCTCAAGTGCACGGTCCTTGTTCATCCGTCGGTGTATCTCAGGTCTCACCACACTCCGTCTTGCTCCTGTCTGGGTTCAGTGCCCCTGTCTCAAGTGCACGGGCCTTGTTCACGATGCAGGGAGAGCTGCAGAGATGGTCACCATTTCTTTCTTTCAAGGGGAGTGGACCTAACATTTTGGGGGTTCATACCATGTGCTAAGTACTGTGTAAGTCATGTTAAATTAGTTTCCCCCCCTAATCTATAGAACATCCCTAGGAGGTAGGCACTAAATCCTCCACCCCATGGAGGCGAAACCTTGGGTTTGGAAGAGTTGAGTGCTTGGACCTGGGCTGTGCAGTGATCGGAACCTAGGCCGGCCAGAACCCAAGCTCATGCTGTGTTTGTGGCACCAGGTTGACTCACAGAGGGCAGAGAGACCTGGACATTTAGCTGCTGGCCAAATCAAGCCCACTCACCCCCAAAAGATTCTGGGTGCCCTTCTCATGGAGTGCCCAGATTGACAGCCTCTTGGTGGGAAGGTGGGAGGACTGGGTTGAACCTCCCTTCTGCTGCCTCTGTGCCTGACTGTGGATCGGTCTCAGCTCAGCCCTTGCAGACACAGGGAAAGGACCCCTCCCAGTGGGAATGTTGTCGTACAGTGTTTCTCAAAGTACGGTACCCGGAACAGCAGCTTCAGCCTGACCTGGAATCTCAAGCTCCACCCCAGAATCAGAACCTTGAGCCATGGGGTCAGAGACCTGTGAATTAACCAGTCCTCTGGGTACTTCTCATGCTGCCCAAGTTGGAAACCCATCAGTTTAGTGGAAAAGAAAAGGCTTTGGGGTCAGAGAGAGCTGAGTTTATCACCCTGGTACTTACCATTGGTGTGACTTCGGGCAAGGTGTCCATGAGGACTTGATAGGAATATTACTAACATTTCTCAAGCACTTGGCAGGCTGAATAGTGCCCCCCTCCCACCCCAAGATGTCCATATCCTGGGAATAAGTTACCTTCCTTGGCAAAAGGGACTTCATAGAAGCCATTGAGCTAAGGATCCTGCAGCGAAGAGATTACCTGGGTGGGTCCAACTTAATCATCAGGGTCTCTATGAGAGGAAGGCAGGAAGATCAGAGAAGAGAAGGTGATGTGACAACAGAAACACAGACCAGAGCGCCGTGACCACTAGGCAAGGAATGTAGGCAGCTTCTAGAAGCTTGGTGAGGAAAGGAGTGGGTCCTCCCTGGAGCCTCCAAGGAACGAGTCGGCCGACACCTCCACGCACCACCCATGCCCTGGACCAGTCATTGCAGACTGGTCTCCAGAGCAGGGAGGGAGCACATTTCCGTTGTGACAGGTCCCTGTGTTTGTGACCCTTTGTGACAGCAGCAGTGATAGAAGTGACACCCGTGCCATGTGTTGGGGTCTGTTCTTGGTGCCTTCCCCACAGTGAGGAGAAGGTCAGTGACCTATGGTTGGCAGCTCCTGTAACCCCTACAACACCTCCATCATGTGAGGGCTATTAGACCTTTTATAGAGATGAGGAAACGAAGACACAGAGAGGTTCAGCAACTTGCCAAAGGTCATCCAGCTAGCGAGGGGGCAGAGCCCGGATTTGACATCTGGCTCTCTTTGTTCCACAGGCTTGCCCCTGTGTTTCTCCCACCTGCCCCTGCTCCGTTCTCAGCAGACCCCACCACTTCCTTGCAAATACTGTTTCATTCTAGCAGCAAAGCTCTGCCTGATGCTGGGCCAAAATGGTTCGAGCCCAAGCCTTGACCTCCTCTGAGTAGCCCCGTGTCCCTTTCTCATCTCCTCCTTTCCAACCTGGAGGAGCCTCAGCTTTGAGGCTTTATCCAGATCCTGGGCTCAGTACCCAGAGGTTTCAGCAGTGCTTCTTTTGCATTGCTAGAAGGAACTCTGGCTTTTCCACGATGCCGGGCCTTTGAGCTGGATGGGCCACAGAGATCAGCCTCACAAGAGCTGTCTGGAAGCTGTACCCAAGCAAATGGCCTTCCTTGGCGAGGCTCCAGAGCTCTCTCTGAGGTTCCCATCCTTCCTGCGGTGAGAACTACATCCTGGCGCTCACTGCAATGTATACACATGTGTGGGCTGCATTTCATTCATGCCAGAATCTGACACATAGGCAGAATTTTTGTAGTGAGCATATGGCTGGGAACCCTCAGATAACGTGCTCAGTGGGGACCCATTTTGAACCAAGATTTTGAGTGAAAACATAAGTCAGCAAAGAAATGAACGCTGGGACAGGCACAGAGAGCCCTTAGCCTTCAAATGTAGGACTTTGAGTGTGTGTGCACTCACATGTGCGCACGTGTGTGTAAGAGTGTGCCATGCATGCTTGACAGTGTTTGTGTGTGAGAATATGCCTGAGTACATAGCCGTGTGTGGATTGCACGGCCACTTAAGGTGTGTAAAGTCCCAGGGTGATTGTGAACCTGTGAGTGGGCGGATGGTTTCGGGGTGTAAATGTCCGTGTGCTGGGCATGTTTTTGGGAATGCACGTGAGTGCGTGCGTGTGTGATTAGTGAGTTATCAGGCGTGAGAGCAGCTGTGAACAGTGAGGTGTATGTGGCCGTGCGCGCCCGAGCAGGTGTACAGACGTGTGTGAGTGGTGCGGCTGAGCACATGCTTCTGCCTCTCAGAGAGCGCCCCTGGCTAAACGGACTCACTGCCGCCTCTCCAGCTCCTGTGTGCAGAGCCTGCTGGTGTTTTATGACTGAGCCTCCCAGGTACAATTTAGCTGATGCCCAAGCAATGAGGCCGTTCAGCAAAAGATCCTGACAGATGGACCACAAGTTCCTTCTCTCCGAGCCCCATGGTTCTGCAGCTGATTTAGACCCTTCGCGTAGCCATAAATGCTGTCGGCAGCCCTCCCCAGGGCCTCGTGGCCTGAGACTCCACGGTGCAGGTCAGCTCTGCGAAGGCGGCTCCCTCTCAGCAGGTGCCTTCCAGCAGACAAGGGAAGTGGTCTGTATGAGTCCCCTTGGGTTGGTTGCCAGAGGCTGAGACTGCCCTGGGCCTTCCATGGCTGTTCTCTTGCCCTGCCTCCTTTTGCAACATTCTAAGCCATTTTAGTATGTTGCAAACAAGTTGGGCATAGCAAAGAGGTCATGGATCCCACTTAGGGAATTTTCTCCATTCCGTAGGTCTGATGGAGAGGTGGAAACTGAAGCTGTGGGAGAGCCTGAGACCCAGTTAGAGAGCAGGGACTGGAAGGAAACGGTGGAGAGGGACAAGTGGTGTGTGCCCAGACCGACAGCTGCGTGGTGATTGCTCCTTATGCGTCTTTGTAGTTTACAACGTGCCTTCGCACACAGCTTCACTACCTGCTCTCACAAACACTGCTAGTGGGCAATAGCACGGCTCGTGGTTTATGGCGACGAGTGAGGCTCAGCGAGGCCAGTGCCTTGTTCAAGGTCACACAGCTGTCAATCTCTGACACTGGCTCAGGTGTGGCTGAGACTGATGGACCATGTGACATCTGAGGAAGGGTCCCAGCCTTAGACCACATCCTGTCATCATTCGCCCCTTCCACACTCAAGCTCCAGCCCTGACTTTTCTGCTTTATGTCTTCCTTGGTCGCCCCCATGGCCATGATACTTTGGACTCTGATGGAGGACAAACTGATCCAGACACAAAGTCCAGTCAGGAGCTGTTGACAGGACGGGTGCTGTGGGCCCCTCTGCACCAGGGCTTCTGAGAGCAGCAGGTGGGAAACTAAAACGTGGCCTTTCCTTATGCTCTGCTCAGAAGACTAGCCTCAGACACCTGTCACTTTCTTGCTGGGGTGAGTCATTGGTCCATTTGCTCACTCTCTGATGGGTCGTCTGTTTCTTTTGCTCTGCAGGGTCCACCCTTTCTACCTCTCGGAACTGTCCAGACATCTTTGGGACGCTCATGCCTTCGTTACTCTGTGGTCCTCTTCGTGGTCCTTGACACCCCACTGCCCCAGATATTCTGGATGGAATATTCAACTCAGCGTGGCCACTCAACATCGTGTCCTCCTGGCCACAGTAACCGGTTCGAGGATGGGTGTGTGGCTCCGGAGGACCAGATGAACTATAGGGAGGGACACTGTAGCCCAGAGGTCAGTGGCCCAGCCACAACAGGAAGGTTCTACCTCCCTCAGCTCATGCTTCTATCTCTGGGTCCAAGGCAGCTGCCCTAGGACTTGTTTCTTCCCTGGTGGCAGGGAGAAAGTTTTTTATTGTTTAAATTATTGTTTAGATTTTTTTTTTCCCGTAGGGAATGTGCATTCAGTGAAGAGAGACAGAGAGAGAGAGAGAAAATGAGAACTCCCCCACAGGGGCATGGCCATGCTGCAGCCCCTTCTTCTCCATTCTCCTCTTGGGATTTTGGGTGCACATGG